TCTCCATCTTCATGTTCCTCTTCTTCTTATCAGTATCGTGTGCTGATTCTCCCAAATCAGACGTTTATTGCAATTCGATGATATCGATTCCGCCATTGATCTCTTGCATCTCCATACTCCTTCCGTTATCAGTGCTTCGCTGTCATTTCCGGCGCAAGAGGTATCGTCGTCGTCATCGCAGCGCCAGCCCGATGAACTTGCAGCCTCCATTTTTTCGAAGGTTTTATTTCACTCTCTCGTGTAATCAATCATAATTAGGGTTTTGCTTCAGCTTATCAACGCGTAATCAACATATGAAACAATAAAGTAAATAACTTTCTGACACCATTTTCAATGAAGCTTTAGGTTGTGATGCTTTATCTTCTAGCTAATCCTCTCTAAATTATGATTGAACAAGGACTGATAATAATTTGTAGTGTTCAGTGCCCAATCGTTATCCTATTAGGAATTAGAATCTCAAGCCTTCAAAAATTGGATTTCCATAAAATTGTGAAAAAGCTTTCAAAATCACATTATATGCCAGTGATGAAATCGTTAGGTTGTTTGGGTTTACTGGGAAATCAATGAAAATGAAGGGAATTTGGGTTTGTTGATTCACAGGAAATGAAGAAGGAAGAAATATTTTTTTTGTTTTAGCAGCCTCTAGCTGCGTCAACTTCTGTTTCTTAGAAGTAGTGATTTGGGGGTGGTGTATGTTTTGTGCTTTGATCGACAAAACAAGAAGAAAACACCACATTAGAGTGTGTGGTCGTTCCAGAAGACGAAGAAGAAGGTGGAGGTGGGGTTGTCACAAACGACTGCTCCATCTAAAGTTGTTTTGATGCACACCAAGCGCTCGCTAAAATGCTTCAATTGAATGGTATTTCTTCGTCTATAGTATTCTATCAGAAAATGATGTTTTTTTTTATGATAATCATGAACATATTCTGTTGGAATACCCCGAATTAATATAATTATTGGTAAATGGATTCCAATTCTATCAGAATGGAATCACGAATTCCAATTATGTTGGAATGGAATATGGATATTTTCCTACTAATTTATTCATTGGATTTGTTTCCACAGAAGTTGATGCTTGAAGAACGGACCACGAAATTTGAACGATGCCTCTTAGCAACATTATTCTTCTAGAATAAATTAGTGTATTTGTTAGATTTTGATGTTTTTTTTCCCGATTTGAAAGTTTTTAGTTTTATTCTTTAACAATAAATGTAATTCTTAGCAATTGTTATATGTATTCTATAAGAATTAATATAATTTTTGTTTTAATTCTTCAATTGCTGGTTCGAGAATTTGTTATTCTACAAGAAAAATATGTTCAAGAATATTTTTATTATTTTATGGTTCAAGAATATTTTTATTTTGAATATATTCAAACATATTCTGTCAGAATGTCCGAATTAAAAACCTAATAATTCGTAAAATCAGATTTTTAAAATTAATAGAATCTATGATCCCTTAAAATATGCAAACTTCCTTTATTAAATCTATGTTAATTGACTAAAATACCCTTCTAGTTAAATTAGATGGTATTTTTCGATTATTTTTAATTCAATAATATGTATTAATCACTTTCTTAAAATAAGTAAAATGATTGGCCCATATTTATGAATACAATAACACAATAATTAGTTTGAATAGAATAACATAGGCCTATATATATATATATATATATATATATATATATATATATATATATATATATATATATATATATATATATATATATAGGAAAAGTGAATATATAAGATTACCCATATAGTTAAAACTATGTCGTTTTAGAGGAATTTATACAGGTAGAAATGAAATCTATCGACAAGTACGGGTGCCTTCCTATTCGATCAAACTGAAGCACTCTATCGAACCTATTCCTTCAATCTCGAATCTCCACTGATTAGTCCTTGGCCTTGTCGATTGTATTTCCTGCTAAAAGATTTTACTAATCAATTGATTATACAACCAATTGGCCTTATCAAACGTGAATTAGAATCAAGTGTTGACGGTCTCCACCTGTTGTTGCTGACCTATCTGATTATTGTTGTCTTAATCCCCTCTCCACTGTTTAAATGGCGTTTTCTCTAAATTGGAAAACAATTGTTGTCCCTTTACTTCAATAGTTGAAATCCATCCAAAATCACAACAAGAATAACTATAAACTCACTAAAATTAGTTGATTGCATATCATTTTGGCTACAAATATTCCCAAACCTGCATCGATATTCAAATGGACAAACAGTTTTGATTGTGTATGTTGCTCAGCTATGGTACTTTACTAATTTAGATGGGCTAGTAGGGGAAGAAGATAAGTTATGCACATAAGGTGCTCGTTGAAATGCATGAGAGAAACTCAATATCAGGGAATCTCATAATCAATGGTGTCATAACTCACAAGCAGTATTAATCAACCCGTTTTGCTTATTACTATACAAAGTAATAAATTTTGACATTTTTGTAAAAAAAAGATCAGGGAAACACCAAACAAGAGACACCATAAGCTCCAACTTTATGGTTGGTTTACCTATCATCAACTCTCCACCGGGTTAGTATTATAAAAAACTTATACTTTTATCATTAAGACCTTATTTTTATTAATTTTATTTTTGATTTTTTTCCATTTGCCAATGCCACCTAGCAAGTAGTTGGTCATCAGGTTTTGGAATCATTAGCCCTGTTAACACCACCCCTTTACATGTTCTTGCATCCATAATTCCACAACATATATCAAATCCCATGAAAATTTCACCAATCGGTAAAGATCAACAATCAAGTTCATGATCTTCCCCTGATCATAACACATCATCATCTTTTCTTGATTCCAATTTTAACACTTCTTCTAGTATTGGTGCCCTATCTAGCTCTAAGATATGGGGTATTCCAACTACTTATTCTGACCACCAAGTAATTCTTAGCGGGCATCTCCGGTGGGCCTATTTAGTCCTAGTTAGGATGGTGCATTCCTGGGACCACCACATCATCATGTAGGCTCTACGCCACCTGACATACCTCTTGAAACTCTTCCATGTGAAGACCTACAAACACTTTCTTCTTTGGGTGTTGCTGCTTATGTATAGACATGATTATTATTTCACATCATAATATAAACTTGACACTTGTTTCTTTTTTAGCCTGTTCATGTCTTTTGTCTATTGCTCATCTGAATGGTGAGTGAAATGTGACATTTATCATCTAATTGAGCAATTAATAACCATGTTCTTTATGAATTATCAATTGTATCAGTTTGAAGTTTTAACCAAAGTCTACTTATATATAAATTTAGATGTTGGTGTATTGACTAGTTCTATTACCTTTATTGATTCCACTCCTTTCTAATTTCATTACATCCAATCCAACTAGATAAATCAACAAGAAAACCCATGTGATTTACTCTTTATTGTAATAATCTTATCTTATTCATGTCCATACTTTTATACTATTATTGTCTTATCATTCGTTTTGCTTCATGTCTGTCATTTTATTTTATTTTGGGACAAAGGCAAAATCGTCTAAGAAGGGGAAAACCAAAGATTGGATATTGAAAATGTGCTTTATCAAAATTTATCCAATTGTGGGTTGGATATGTTTTCTAAATAAACATGTATCTCCATTCCAAAAAAAAAAAAAAAAAAAAGCCTATCGTACAACAGAATTGATCATATGAATGGCATATATTTTTGTTCTAATAAACTTCAATTGTTCCATATATATATATATATATATATATATATATATATATATATATATATATATATATATAAATAAGAGACATTCTTTAATTTTTACTGAAACTTATTAAGATTCAAGGAAAAGATGGATTTGAGAGTTAATCAAAATTGTTGGAAAAAACAACACGAAGACAAGAGGAAGAAAGGTGATTACTTTGTTCAAGAAAAACAATGACCTTTTTTTATTAACTCCGCAACTAATTACATACGTTTACCACTTTAAACTTTTGTCTTGATCTTCAGTAAACTCATTTGGATATCACTAACTTCTCAACCCGTATAACTTCCTCAAATTAAGCTCTTTTCAAGAAAAAAAGTCATCATCACCTTTGCAAACCACGACACATGCATCTTATAAAAGGATATATCACCATGTACTTTTGATGAGAGGAATCTTTTCACCAGTATACGCCTTTACGATTGCTTCATTTAAGCTTAGAAAATTCCCAGCCATGTTTTTTGTTCAAAAGACCATAATACCCTTGTCTTGAATTAAGGCATCCAATATTGTATCTTGTGCTGACATGAAATTACGTTGAAATCGCCAAACGGATTTAATCAAAGATTTTATTGAATATGTGGTCGTAAATACTTTTACTCACATATTTAATCAAAGATTTTTAGACACAAATTTTCGTTAATTAAGTGGCGTTAGGTGCCTGTATTGCTACAAAAATTTATTTATTTGCGTTTGCTATTACATTGTGATACATATAAAACGGATTATTATGGGTGTAACCTACCTTTTAGTCACATATAAAGTGAAACGAGTTTATTTTTAACAATGATTAGTTTATATTTGATGTGACTGTTGTTTACCCTTTAGTCACATTAATTGATGTTAAAATGTGACATGATATCTTTTAATCACATAAAGAAAACTCATAGAAAATAAAATAATGTGACCATTCTTTAGTATTAGTGATTCATAATCGTTTAACACCATCGTTGAATATTACTTATAGCAATACATATTTTCTAAATGATGTTATCTATTAGTCACAAACGTGACATATGGAATCATTACATTACATAAACAAAACTCATAAAGAAAAAAATGTGACTGTTATTTACATTTTGTGATACATAAGTGATAAAATCATCACATTTTTTCTATTTAGTGTGACTATTTGTTACCCTTTAGCTATATTTAATCGTGTAATCATGGTCCTAATTAAGATTTGGTCACATTTATAAATGAAATGCGGACAATATTAAAATGTTGCAAATAGATATATAGCAGTAACAAGAATAAACGAAAATAATATTAATCATTAATCCAAGTTAAATAGTATACACACAAACGTTGTAAGCAGGATATGCTTACCATGTATACAAACATAAAATGAAATATAAGTCATAAACAAAAAAGATCTTGTTATCGTTTTATATTCTTATTAACACTGCTCCTTGTTTTCTTGATATCTTGTGGCGTCACGAAAAAAACTAATCAGCATTTTCCAACAGAAAGTAAGATCTAGCCATCATCCATAGAAAAAAAATTAGAAGACTGATATATCCTTTTCAAACATGAATAAAATTCTGGAACATATGAGTCCATCTATGTATCAATTGTATTTCAAATTAACGAAATAAAGCACCTATTGTCAACATTTTCCCTAATTTGGGATCCAATGGAAGCATTGCTAGATATTTACTTATATTTAAAAAAAATGAGAAAAGATAATCTTAGGAAATAAACTTGTATAGTTATATACTAACCAATATGTGTAAGATGTTCGCATTCATCTAATGCTCCAATCATCTTTAAGAAATCCACATCATTTGGACCTAGAACAAATTGAAGTTTTAGCAACTTAAATCAATAATTAGGGTATAGAGATAAGAGATTCAAGAACAATTATCTCTTTAAATTCTTCTTTTGTTGTGAGTGTCCTCCATTTGAAACAATCATTACATTACACAAAAAATGTTAATGAGTCAACAGAACTCTAAGGTGAGCCCCTCACACCTGCAAAACACCCACATCAATCTTGGAAACAATTCTTACATACAAAATACTTTGATCAAATAAAACCAAATCATCTTCAAAAGCCTACAAATCCATACATCACAAAAGGTAAAAAGATAATGTAAGAACCTTGAGACAAACTTACTTGCAAATAATGTCTAGTTTCTAACTATGAAAAGAAATTGAAGACCATATTTTTTGATACACACCACATGACCGTCAAGAACACAAGACATTTAAACCTAACTTGGTGTTTTTCATGTGTAGAATTGATACATGCTTTATAAAAATTGCACACCAAGCTAATATATCAGAGATTCATGTATTCAACACACAAGATACAAGATATAGGCTAGTAAAAACCTAACCTTCGTTACTTGTGCAAGTGAAGTCAAGCTTCTAGATCCATCCCAACTGCCATACAAGAAATAAGCTAGAAATTGAAACTATTTAAACAAATATAGAATACCTACAATAATATTCAAAATTTGGTCAAAGATTATGTAATGAATTGACCTTAGCTGATCAATTGCAATCACCCTGAAGTCTTTGGCAAGAGTGTAGAAATTTTTAAAAAAGAAACCTTAAAAAGTTGCATACGAATAGACCATTACAAGAGTAGAAGAATCATGTTTTTGTCAAAGGTGATAGGTGTTGATAAATCTTGATTCATTTCTAGCGGAACGAAACTACCTGACCTTAGATCTTGGTGGGGTAGATCTGATATCATTGAAAACAATATGTATGTTCCTGTTATGAACAGAACATGCATTTCCTGTTATGAGCCATTGAACAATTATGAACAGTAGACATCAATTGAAATTATAGGCAGAAAATGAACAGATACACCACAGTGAAAACAGTCAATAAACACATATGATTTCAATTACTGAACTCAGGGGAAAAAGGAAAATAGATGCAATGCAGATGAACGAAAGACACTAACAATTGATATACATCTAAAATTTGCAGACAAAAAGAGATTTTGATTTCAACAAGCACATAATTTCGATTTCAACAAAAATCGGGGGGAAAAGGAAATCGACAGCAGGCACAGTTGAACGAAAGCAGGAAGGGATAAGGAAAATCGCACCTAAATCGATTATGTGGTGTGCGATGGTCGTCGGTGTTATTGGTTGCGACGTATCCGGCGATTATAGTTGGCAACGAGCAATCAACGACGAGCAAATTGGTATCGCCTGAGGAAGCATACTACAGAAAATTACAAACAAACAACAAACTCAAATCAAACTGCAAACTTAAAAAGAAATCAGCGATTGGGGTTTTTGTTACAATTCGCTGGATTTCATTTTCAGTTATTGAAATTCATTTTCTCATAGTAACGAATCGAGAGAAGAGATAGAGAAAGTTGAACCTCGTCTTTTCCCCAACGAGTTTTCGCAGCGGTTGTGGTAGGTTTCGACGGAACAATTATACGCTTCGGTGGTAGACACGGCCAAGCCGACGAGGATGCGGCTGCAGCGACGGTTGAAGACGACGATGAGGTAGCGGTGGAGGTGTAAGGCTTAGATAAAGGCAATAAGTAATGAGAGTGGAGTCGTCGGAAGAATGGAGGCTGCGTGTGAAGCATACGAACAAAAACCTTTTATTAGGTTAAGGCATATGGCTTGAAAACCTTTTTATTACGTAAAAAACGACCCATGAGTCGGTTGTGAAAAACATAAGTTAAATAAATTTTGTTTAAATTAACTTAAATTCAAATTTTATTTAAATCGTATGGAGGGAACAGGAAGGAGATCCAATTTTTATGAAATTAAGTGGGTGAATATAAGGAGGAAAAAAAGGGTTAATTTTAGAGTAAGTTACATGCATCGTTTCCGTGTATTGTGTTAAAAGATACATTCGGTCTTTCTTTTCAAAAAATAATTTGGATCGTCCCTTGTTTGGTTAGAAGTTGCATATTTCAACCTATGTCATACATAAAGATACATAAAGTTACTATATTTACCTTTTGGTGATAGTATTTGTCGTCTATGTGAGAAAGATAGGGAGAGAAGCCAAGGCGTGGTAGTCGATGATGGGCAGTGGTAATCAACGACGGTGAACGATGGTTTTTGGGTCCTTTCATTTTTTAATGGTGTATGATCTTGTGCAATTAAAAGAATAGATGACAAAAAGGGCAATTTGGTCCTTTCTTATAGCTCTTATTCAATACAACTATATTGTTATTTGTTTTTCTTTTTATTATTTATATATTTTTTTTTTGGTTCTTTCAGAAATTGTTTCTAATTTTACAAAATTGTCATTCAATTTTTTTTCATTAATTTATACAACCCTTTAATTGCAAAAAAAAAGCAATGTACTTTTGTAAAATGGCATGATTGAACTTTTTGTTCATTTTTTATTCTGCTAAATGATATCAAAGATAAAAATGGTCAAATTTATGAGTCTTCCAAAAAGTCTAAAATTGTCATTTTTTGTATAATAACTTAACTAGGAAACAATTTCAGTTTTACAGCAACAAAATTTCATTTTATAAAGACTATTCTTTAAACTTACAAATACAATAGTACAACCAGAATGAACATTACATAATTATAGTAAAATATTCAATGAACGACCCCTAATTATACCGATAAGACATTATTGTTCTTTTATAACTATATTTACATATAGACACATATACTAGCTGTAATTATAACTAAATGTTACCTACACACACAATATTTGTTTCTTCTCAAAGCCAATTCATCATATTTTGACACACATAATAAAAGGTACATGACCATAAACAACCAATACTAACTTGTTTTCTTTTATTGCATTAACTAAGTACAACTAGTATAGAACCACCCTTTGGACACACAAATATTTAGTGTGACCATATGTATCACCTTTTAGCTACTTTGTTTGTTATGTGTCTAAAAAGGCTCCAGGTTATAGACACACATACAACTGACTTATGTCACAATACGTTTATTTACTGTCTCTCATCAAAAAAAGTATGACAATCTTAATCGATACATGTGGCTGATTGTGACCTATGGCCTCAGTGTTCGAGTGTGACTAATATTTGTTACATTTGGTATAATTAAGTGTGGTTAAAGTTTTTATTATCTATATAATGGCCACACAAACTAATTTAAATGTATCCAAAAACAATCTCTAAATTTTTTTAGTGACCTTTGGCCACACTTTTCATAAAAAGTGTCACATGTCGTTTTTCGGAAAGTGTGACCGTAGGTCATTTTTCTACTAGTGGTACTCCTTTGTCTTTTGTTGCAACCCTTTCCTTTTTTTACCAAAGACCCATGAAATTACTACACATTTTGCAGCATAATCTTCATGCAATGTTGACATATTTTAAGAAACCATCGGTCCATGAGGTTACCCACAAAGCATGACTACTGACTTTGTTCCTAAACAAAAAACATTTTACCTTATAACCTTATTTGACTACAGTAGTATAACGACCCACATTTTCACCCACAATAGTATAACGAAATACATCTTTATTGTTGATGTTTGGCATCATCTCTTAATTTGATGCAGTCCGTCTGACCCGAATAACCCATGTAGACCTTCATTTTGGAGAGGACCTTTATAGCCACCAATCAAAACTACATCGAATCCTTCATACATCTTTAATCTCTTATCACAAAAAAATTATCCAACTTTTTATTCCCACATCAAGATCGGTTTTCATCTTCAAATCTTCTTCTTTTGATGTTGCATTCTCATCATCATTTATATTAGCTGATTCATACTATAATCATCTTCATCATATTTCATTATAAAACCCACACAATCATCATAAACTTTGTTGGGATCAATCTCAAACATCGTCATCTTGATTTTATTTTCTGTAACAAGATGACGGTAACAAGGGAAATTTAACAAACCTTTTTTATTGATCCCACACACACACCCATCGTTATTTGTATCAAAAATCTTTTCATCTGGATCTAAAAATACACAAACAACATGTACATAAAACTTCATCTTCTTGAACTTTTTTTTATTGATTTAAGTGAAATCAAAATTATTGAATCATATAAAATTAATCTCCATGCTTAACTGAAATTTAGTGAATTATGTGAAATTAAAATTCACTTGAAAATTTTGATTTTATGTGTTCTAATTCGAAATCGTGACCAAGAAGAATACAGATGGCTATTTTTTTTTTCAAAAACGGTGATGATCACAAAAGGAGTCGAATACAAGAGTGCAACCAACGAACTAGGATAGGAAATTAAGCTAGTGATAGATGTTATACACACATTCCATGCGAAATCAAAATTCTTAATTGAACATCCAAATCAAAAACTAGAAGCAATTCGTTTAAGGGTTAATCAATTGGGAATCAACAAAAATCAACAAACGAAAGTATTTAGGAAGGATACGGTAGTTTATTTTAAGGATTGTTCACGTAACAATTTTTCACACGAAATCAGTAAGCAAACGACATCGTTTTGGATATAGGGTATCTAATGTTATATATCCTCTAGGGTATATTCACTTTTCCATATATATATATATATATATATATATATATATATATATATATATATATATATATATATATCATTTTACACAACCTAACTAACTTATACCTAGTTTTTAGCAAATGTTATTTTTTATTAGCTATCTTTTAGTTAGTAGTTGATTTTTCAACTATCAGCTAATTATTTAGTTAGTCCACAAAATATAACCTTAATGATTTATTTTTGCATTTCACAATCTGCATTGACATTTGGTGAGAATTTTCCTATTACCATGTCATAATGCGTCCTTAAAAAACTACTTTTTAAAATATATATGGACTCACTTAATTGCTTGGCAACGACAACAAAAAAGGGGGAAATGTAATGACCTAGATTGTAGGTGGCATCACATGTCCATGGGACCTTTATCTTTAGAGGCTCAATAACAATTCTATCTGTAATATGATTCTCCCAAAGAAAACAATGTCAAAAAAAAAATCTATAAGGAAATGAAAGATATAAAGAAAATGATGAAATAAAATTAGACTAACTTATGATTATAAACACTAAAGGTTCCCATAAAAGGTTCATAAAATTTTATACTTAACATTGATGTTTATATATTTAACAATTAAATTTCATGTTTTTAAAGCTTATACGATTATAAACACTATTCCTTACATTATTTTACCAACTCAAAAGAAAACAAGAAGTTGCAGATTCCAAAAGTTTAATATTAAAAAGGGTTTAAATGTAAGAAAATGCAATTTACTTTCATTGATTTGTTTATGATAACATTATACTTTCATTTTTTCTTATTAAAATATTGTACTATGGAAAGTCCACCTAGTTATAGAATTTCATCATAAAATAAACAAGTTATACTATGATTGAAAATATTTTGCTAAGTACAATGTTCTAATAAAGAAAATTTTGAAAATATAATGTTAAAATTTAGTAGATATTTCAAAGTACAATTCAAACAAGAAAAAGTAAGAAGTATAATGACGTAAGAGAAAGAAATGAAAGCAACATTCTCTAATACATATATAAATAAGAGTATGTTGCTATTTCTCGAACTGAGAAATTAAAAATATGTATTTGCTTCGATTGATTCCAAAGGTACGTAGTAAGTGGATCTCTAACGTTGATTTAATAATCTTACTCCTCATTTAGGGGTTTAATTATCTTCATCCGAGCATCCACATATTTCATTTTGTTTAAATAGAAAATAGATAAAATTTAAGCTCTCTCTAAAACTTATTATCGAATAAAGCCGAAAGAATATTATACAAATAATGTTTAAATGCACGCAATAGCAATATAGTTTCATCAATTTGTTTATTATAGACTTTCGGTTCTTCCTATTGCAACATTGTATTTTGAAAATTTTACCCAATCATAGCAATATCATCCAAGTACAAAAGAACTTTTAATGTTATGATTAGATAGCTTTTTTCAAAGTATAATGTCCTGATAAGAAAAAAATGTACAATACTATTAGTAGTTTTTTTTTAAAGTACAACGCTTGAATAAGAGATAAATAAAAGTACAATATTGTAACAGAAGGGAAACAAAAGTAGGATGTTACAATAAATAAATAAATAAATAAATAGAAGTAAATTATTATTTTTTTCATTTATCTCTAGAAATAAACCAAGAAACAAAGTTATGTACTTTAACAACACAAACCATATTTCAGAAACATACTACTCTATGAGCATGTTTGACAAAACTAGCTGGTTGGTAGCTGAAAACCAAAAACTAGAAGTCTTAACTTTTATTTTGTGCAAAAGTGCATGGAAAAACTAGTTGTTAGCTTTTAAAAGTATAAAATTACATAAAAACCAAAAAATTAAAGTAGCTTTTAGATTATAAATTTTTTGTATAAAATAAAAGGTAAACACTTATTTTCTAACAAAACATTTTTTTTAAACTTTTTCGTAAAAACTAAAAATAATTTTTTTTAGAATGGATATGTTATTGGTATCTTTGTTTTTTTAGTTATACCCTCTGTAATAACTATTTTTTAATTAAGAGATTTTAATATTATTTAATTTTTAGTTTTTTTTTTCTTTTCAACCAATGCATGTTAAAAATTTTATTTTTAAGGCATAGAAAATTGGCTTCTAAAGATAGTACTTTT